CTGATTCTAAGAAGTGCTAAAAAGACCAGACAAATAATTGGCTTTCTCATTTAGAAGTTGTAAATAATTCAAGAGTGTGACTGAAGTGATGTTTTCAGTCAAATCTTTGCTTCTGTTTTACTGACTGTATTTCACTAGTAAACAAATGCTATAACCTGGTTACTGTGTACATGCAATCTATCAATTGGTAAGATTTCAAGTAGTTTAGGGATAAGACTAGCTTGTAGTAGTTCAGTTCCTTTATAAAGAAAATGAGAAAATCATCCAAACCTGAAACCTGCTAAAACTGTAGTTTAATGGGTTTGGGGTTTTGCCATGAATTGCAGGATTTTTAATAATTCTTCCAAGATCTGTATACAAGTTGCAGGTCTAGGATGTGTTTGTGAAGCTAGCACATGTTAATCTTTAAAGTCTTTTCACAGGGAAGAGCAAAGAGAGAATAGAAATGACCCAGAAGAGGTACTGGCAATTCTCTTGTCTGATACATGTCTCATGAGATTGTATCTTCTGATAAAATGTAAAATCTTCATTAAGTTATCTTTATCCCTTGGTTATCAGTGTAATAGTATATGATCTCTAGCTTCACATGTACTGTGTTGTACTGCTTTGTAGAAGATGGTTTCTTTATCAGCCCATTTGAAATCCTTTTAAGATAAAACAGTTACCTAAGTCTAGTCAGTAGCCTAATTACAATGTATGTGTATCAAATTTTCTGACCTCAGTAAGGCAAGGAAAATGCACCGTAAATTCATGTGGTCCATTAAACTCCTTTCCTGCTTGTATAGTACAGAACGCTGATAAAAGGTTTGGGGTAGTTAACTTGAGTATGCAGTGAATAGAAATTAAAGGATGGATACAGTTTGATAGTCGTTGCATTTGTTTATTAAGCAGTTGAGTCAGAATTAATCGGTACTTGTGTGCCATTCTTATGCTGTCCTGCAGATTTAGGTGAAATGGTCAACCATGCCTTTCTCATTTTCTCATGCTTTCTTTTTTAAGCTAATCAGTTTCTTTTTTTTTGTCTTTATGTTGGTGTGTATTTCAGTGCTAGTATAATTTTTTTCCACTTCAGTTACAAGTCACATTTGTACATGTCCCATGAACCATCCTGTTTTGCCAAAGTCAAAGCTTTGATTTAAAAAAAACCAGATATACAGCCCTTATCAAACATCCAGTCAGAGCACGTTGGATTCAGAATGTTGTCTGGTGTTTTCTTTGCCTAATATATCGTTGTATTCTTTTCTCTTTAACAGCCTCAAGTACTACAGCCTTCCAGCAGCCTTCCCAGTTCCACAGACCTCGCCCAGGGAAAACTAATAAAAATGCCACATATCGAGGCCCACAGTGAATATCCTAAACATGGTCTGCATGACAATAGCAATCATCAGAATCAAAATGCTGCAAATGTCTCTCTCGCAAATAGCCTGAATGATGTAAACACTCTAAGGAGCGTACAGTTAAACATAAAAGATGAGAAGGCATCATATTTGGAAAATTTGAAAAATAAAAATACTGAAGACCCTGGAGAGGTGGCTAGTAATAAAGGTACATTACCGTCTCGTTCCTGTTTTCAGACCTCTACACGAGCTGATGCTAGAGAGGTGCAGGCTGAATTAGCTGTGAAAGGTCAGCCCTCACTCACAAACCAGGCTTCTCGGCCAAAGACCTTAAGAATCGCAAAGCCCCCAAATGCTTTAGTGCCTCCTACAATGGCCGTTCTCACACGATCTGCAAATCATTCCGCTGCTTCCAAGGAACCTGAGCTGCTACCATCAAGTAGTTCGACTCAGCTACAGCCAACATCTGGTCAGGATAACCTAAAGGGTAAACAGAGTCAGAAAGTGTCTAAACTCCGCCTACCAACTACATCCTTTGTTAAATATAAGCAAATGAGCAGTCAGAAATCCACACCAGTATCTGCAGAGCCTCAAAACACCTGTTTGAAGACTAACATCCCAAAGCCACCGGTACAGAGAAAGGAAATTGTGCAAACACAGAATACCGCTTTGCATGCTGGGGATAGTTTGCCCTCTACTCGGCAGTCCCGCCTCCCTAAACCAAAGACACATTGAGAACATACCTACATCTCATTGAATGATGCCATACATTAAACTACTTCCTGTGTATTGACTGCCTTTGAGGTTGCTTTATCTACAGCCTGCAAATCCTGAGCAAATATTAAAAACACCATTTTTTTTTTTTAGAGTTTGCATACTCCATCCTGTTATGTTCTGAGGCTCATGTTATGAGCTGTGCAGCTTCTCTTGAGAGTGTTTTGTTATATCGTAGGTCTGTATTAAAGACTGTATTGCCCAGTGATCTTGGTAATTAAGCAACTAGTGAAGTGTGTGGTGACCACGAATACCAGAATGCTGCACTATGTATTTCAGGATGGCAGAAATAATCTCTTACCTCTGTTGATTTGAGTTACTAGACAGTGAAATTACTTTTCAGTTTAACTTCTTGGTTCTGAGTACTCGTTAGGTTAGAGTGGTGGAAAATTAGACTTACTGGCAGATGTTTTATTGGCCATAATTCTGACTCTGTATTCCAGAGGCCTATGCAAAAATCCTTGTATTTATCATTATCTCTAGACTGACATATTTAATGTTATTTAATCTGATGGGTTGGGTGGGTTGTGTTGTTTTGTTTTGCTGTAATCTGAAGTTGCTCTGTTCTTTATTTATCCCATTCTCACTGTTCACAGACAATAAGCAGATTTCACAGGGTGAAACGAATCTTCTCTCTTAAACATCATCATTTGTTAAATGATTGTGGTATGTTTTTATTGTGTTGAATAGACACGTTATCGGGTAGATTCTTGAAACGCAGTGCTAAGGATACTTGTGCAAAATCTTCCAATACAGGCTCTTATGAATTGGTAAGTAGGGAGCCTTTGGGAATAAGGGGTCCATAACACCTATGTCGAGGTTGCACAACAGCATTTTAATGAACATTTTTTAACTTTTATTGTATTACTTGTATTTATTGATTTCTGTTTAATATTGAAAGACTCTAAAGTACCTGACTTGAAATTTTGCACAAACCTCGCCATATATGTAAGGATTTGAAACTATTTTACAGAATAAAACTTGTATTAAAAAAAGCAACTATTTAAAAAAAAGAAAATTAATTAACCCCACTTATTTGCTTTGAGCAATCTTATTATGTCCTAATCCAGAGCTGGTACTCTTAAGAGTTTTTCAGAGACGTGTATTTTGGTTTTGGGTTTTTTGTAGTTTTTTTTTTTTTCTTGTAATTTCTAAAGAAATGCATGAAAACTGGGAAGGAGCTTTTGGGGGAAATAAAGAAGAAAAATATTTTTCTGCTCTCTAGGAGAAGTATTTTTTCTGAAAGTGGTCTGGAAATATATGCCCATCATTGTGCAACTATGGGACCATGACACATGTGCTGTGAGTTAAATATATGTATATCCAGTGAAGCTTTCCAGATGTTATGTCCCATCTCCAGTTCTTCCCTTCTCTCCCATCACTGTCTCTTGGATGTTACCAATTGGGTTTTTTCCTGTTCTTGAATTGGCTTTTAAAATCAGCAGCAGAAAGCTGTTACAATAACTTTGCTCAAAATTCGTTCCTGAACAGCATATAACGTCAGTAAAACAGAACATAGTAATAGCTCGTTCTAGGCTTTGGCTATAGGACGTTGACATATTGCAGTATTTTCTTTGGAAGAATTAAAGTGTATAGGTATAGATATTTCATAAATAAGTTCAATAATCAACTTCTGTAATATAAGCCGCTTAACTAGGGGTATCCTGATGGATACCTCAGTTGGATGGGAGAAAAATATGAATAAAAAAATATAATCATCTCATCTGAATCTCTTGGTACATAATTAATATCCAAGAAAGTTTTTGGATTTGTCACACTGTAAATCCTTTTAACTGAGAATGAAGTAGAAAAATGAAAAGCCTGGGGGGAAGTGGGGTGGGGGGGAGGTTCCATTTCAGAACTACTTAGATCAATCTGAAATGAGACACCTGCAGGACTAACTGGGGTGAAGACAATGTAAGCAAGAAGTAACAAGGGTAACGTTAATTGTTACAGTTGATACAGGATCAAAAGAACTATAATTCAAGATTGCTGTAACAATTATTCTCCAGGAAAAATTCTTTCTTTCCCTGAAAAGCATTGAATTAGATGGCCTTCAGTGTAAGCATTTACTTTTGATAAGAAAATAAAACTGACTTTTTATATTCCCCAAAACTAGCTCCGGGCAGCTAACTGTGTTTCTCAGGAGTTAAAAACTGCTGAGGGAATGATCAGATTCCTGGTTCATTTTCTGGTCCATATAAATTTCTATGGAAGGTGGTTTTTTTAAGTTTACTTTGCTTGAAGAGAAGCTGATTTTATTTTTAGTTGTATATGATTTTGTGTAAAAAGATGATGTTCACTTACTGCTATTGACAGATACTTCACCATGAGTTCTTTTGCTTCTTATTCTGGAGGTATCACTAGCCTGATTTAGTGATGTTAAAATTTTTATGTTTACATTTAAAAGTATAGATATCTATGTATCTGCACCTTTACTGAAAATTAAGGAATGAAGCAGAGGGATGATCAGGGTTTTCATTAAAAAAAGATGGTTCTTAATTTTTTTTTTTTCCCCCAGAAGAACAAAAATACGTTTA